ATCAACCTCATAATCAGTACATTTTCCACCTTTTACATTTTATAACTTATCCAACTTCCCCCAATCCAAATATCTAAAGATTAGACTTTACCATTTCTCATTACAATAATCATAAATCCTTTATAATTATAATCCAAAATTTTAAAAGTATAAGCTTCAAAAACAATCCTTCTAACCCAGCTCTCCATTATGCATCTCCTCCCAGTTCCATTCATTTTCACATCACTGATACAAAAGCAACCTCATAATCAGTACATTTTCCATCTTTTACATTTTATAACGTGTCCAAAATTTTTACAAGTAGTAAGCCTGTAAACTTCTTCCAAGAGCACAAGCGGCAACATCTTCAGCTGGTTTTCTCTGGTGTACGACCCAAAAATGGATTCTATATAAACCTTTTTTTCTCAAAATTTCACTAGGGAGGCACACCCAAACCATAACCAAGTCTATTACCGCTTCTTTTCCCAACTTTTCAAACTTTTCACTTTCCAAATCTCCATAACATGGCATATCATTTTGGGATATTTCCAAAACATCTTCTTCAACCTCTTCACATACTTTATCCACCCGTTGCTCAATGAGATCTGAAACTATAAACTTCTGGAGAGCAGATGCCACAGTTCCATATAATTCTTCCAATCTCTTAAGACATAGATTTTTAACTTCCACACTGCATTGCTTGACTGCTTGCATCAAAACATTCTGTAGGTCATTCATAATGAAAAGTAAAGACATTTTCAGTGAGATCCACTCAGCAACCAAAAAGAAAAATTTCTTTCTCGCTCTTTTTTTTTTTCCTCAGATCCGCAGCCATTTTAAAACTTCCAAATTTCTTTAAATATACTTCATTAATCCAAAAGGATAGCAGTATTAATATCACCAGCCAGTATACACCACAAATTCATTGCAGCTAAAACTTTCCAGAGCCGGAGAAGTAACAATATAGCTCTTTCCAATCAGTAGCCAAAAAAAAAGTGAAAGTAAAAAAAAACAAAAAAACGAAAGTATTCCAGAGAAACGGCAAGTCCGCAGCCATTTTCTCTCACTTTAAATCACCACAAAATAAAGAAGATGTTAGTATATTTCAGAGTCAAAGTCAGAAACAATCCACTGTAAATCCGAACCTCCTGTTAAGTTCCGTCTGCTTAAAATTTAAGTCCAAATACCTTCCAAAAGGCAAAAAACGAGTTAAATAGTTCTGCTTTCTCCCTATTGCTTGTCACCTTGCCACTTTCGCCCACTAATGGACCAATCATTTCCTTCACTTTTTTCTTGTTTTTTACATGTTGAAAGAAGCTTTTTTTTTGTTATTTTTGACTTTGGTCACAAGCCTTAGTTCATTATGAGCCTTAGTTTTCCTCACTTTGTCTTTGCGGGCTCGGGCTATTTGTTGATATTCTGATTTAGTTATGTGCCCCTCTTTCCACTTTCTATACTTGTCCTTTTTATCTTTCAATTTATCAGAGAGTTCTTTATGCAGCCATGCTGGTTTCTTTTGAGAGCTGTTATTTTTCCTCTTTGTTGGTATTGTGCTAGACTGGGCTTCTAATATCTCGCTTTTCAGAATTTCCCAAGCTTCTTGAGTTGTTTTCCCCTGGAGGATTCTCATCCATGGAATCCTTCCCAAGCCCTTTCTAAGTTTATTGAAATTAGCTCTCTTGAAGTCCAAGACTCTAGTTTGACTATGTTCTATTGCTTGTGCTTCCATAATGTTGAATTCCAATATTGCGTGGTCACTACCTCCCAAGGTTTCTGTGGCTTCAGCACCTTCTATCATTTCATCTCTGTTAGTGAGAATTAGATCCAAAATGGCTAATCCCCTAGTTCCCTTCTCTACTTTTTGGGAGACAAAGTTGTCTGCTAGGTTTGTCAGGAATCTGTTTGATCTTCCACTTGGTGCAGAGTTTGTCTCCCAGTTGATGTCAGGGTAGTTAAAGTCCCCCATTACTATTGTGATTTGCTTCCTACATACCTTAGTTAGCTGACTAGCAAAAAGTTCATCTATTTCCTCTGTTTGGTTGGGTGGCCTATAGTATACACCTATGGCAATGTCATTTTTTCTCCCTTTTATATTGACCCAAATGCATTCAAGACAGTTTTCATCTTTGTTGTGCTCTATTTGTGTAGAGATTTAGTTATTTCTTATATAGAAAAATATATGTATGTATGTATGTGTGTATGTGTGTGTGTGTGTGTGTATACAAATATATACAAGGTAAAGGCTGCAACAGCAGCTACAAAGAATAGATTGGCAGAAGATTAGCAGATGCATCCTGAACATCAACTAGCAGCCAGAAGAGAGGATGAAAATTCCTTCATCTCAAAAGACATTGGACAGACTCGGCCATAGTTTCAGCTGTGAGCATCCTAGAGCAAGCTAAATCACAAACACGAGATAATTCCTGGAAGCCTAGCCTTCAGACAAATCGGCCATCAACAGAGATAAACCTTTAAGAATATCAGCCTTTGAGAACTGTTTTGTCTGGAGTGAGAGCCAATGATTTTGCCTTTACAGTCCCAGAACAGTTCAAAGAGCTCTCATGATTTCTGACTAGCTCACAGAATCAAAAATCAGAATAAACTGACACATTTGGAGAGTATTTTAATAATAAAATGATTTCTTTAATTTAAAAGTGCTGCTTTAACTGCTGCTTAATAATCATTTTCTAATTAGTTTTGTTAAAGATTACTGTTTGGTTTTAATTACAGGGAGCTCTGGTGGAATCTGTGAAAAAAGCAAGCTTTATTCTGATGGGAAAAAGAAGTCCCTAAATACTGGCATAATCACTGTGCAAAACTACGGTTCCCATGTCCCTCCTAAGGTCTCCCACATCACCTTTGCACACGAAGTGGGACATAACTTTGGTTCTCCTGTAAGTATATATAAGTTCCAGGTCTCCCTGGCTGGTCCAGCTTTTACGGCAGATCCAGGAACTCTTAAACCATCCCCTCTGCCCACAAAATTAATTGGTCCTGCTTATTGCAGGATGAAACAATTTGATGAATTGGGCCAAGTAACCTGCCTAAAGAGTTTCCTGTCTCCTTTTACAGCAAAATGCATCTCAACTGATCTAAAGAAAGAAATGTGTGGCTTGCAGCCTGCCAATCTCTCAAAATATAATAATAAAAACATGTGCCAGGGTGTCCGCAAAACAGTCCCTGCACTCGTTTGCATGAGAATTGTCCACCTCCACTGGATTCAGCAAAGCCGGTCCCTCTATCTTAGTTGTGAGCTTCTCATCTGATAGCTCAGGACCTTTTCTGTTTCTGAAATGACTTGCTGCAGTTCAGTACAAGTCTGACTTCAGTGATTATACAATCTCTTCATGTAAGTGAAGCCAGACTCTTACATGGTTGTTAATGGATAAACAGGATAATAAAAGGAGTAATTTTGGTGCACTGAATTAAAGAAAAAACACAGAGTTCTTCGTCAGTGGCTGTTTGGGTCAAGTATTGTGAAGATGTTTAGAGTGAATCATGGAGGTGCTGGCTTCTTTCTCAACCACCTCACCTTCTTATCATTCTACCTTCTTCCTGGGAGGCTTTAACCGGCTCCTCACCTGACATGGTAGCTTCTTTGAGGAGCAGAAAATCACAAAACTTCTGGTGAAGAACACTGACAATTTTTGTCTCTTGCAGCATGATTCTGGAACAGAGTGCACTCCAGGAGAGTCCAAAAACCCGGGGCAAAAAGAAAATGGCAATTACATAATGTATGCACGGGCAACCTCTGGTGACAAACTGAACAACAATAAATTCTCTATCTGTAGTATTCGGAATATCAGCCAAGTGCTTGAAAAAAAGAGGAATAATTGTTTTGTTGGTATGTATTTCTTCTACACAATTTGGTTGTCTTTATTTTTCATGGGATGGCAATGAGAAGAGAAAATACAGGGAACATCACTGGGGGCAGCTTGAAATTCTGTAGCTTTTCATTTTCTAAAAGTGTGTTTTGCATCTGGTCCTCCCTGAGATGCAGATGTAGGCCGCTCAGTCCTCTCTCGAACCTTGGAAAGGAGAGCCGAGCTTGTTAATCAGCGCTTAGGCAAGCTCAAGAGTTTTAGTGTTGCACACAAGATGAAACGTGGCTGTAGCCCTTGAACTGCAGCCAAGGCTGAGCCCGCCGTTTCCTCCTCTCGTGTGAAGAATCTTGCAGAAAGGAATGTGCCAAAGGCTGGCAAGAACCATCTCTGGCTGGGCTGAGAAAGAGCCGATTCCTCCTTGTATGGCGGCTGCTTTATAGAAGGGGATGCAGGTCCTGAAAAGGAGGGATGGTCCTGTGTCCTGGTTCAGTCCTCTCTCCCTGTTTCTCATGACCCCAGTTAGCCTTCAGAAGAACTTCTTGTTTTTCAGAATCCGGCCAACCCATCTGTGGAAACGGGCTGGTAGAGCAAGGCGAGCAGTGTGATTGTGGCTACAGTGACCAGTGCAAAGATGAGTGCTGCTACGATGCCAACCAGCCGGAGGACAAGAAGTGCAAGCTGAGACCCGGCAAGAGTTGCAGGTTCAGAGGCTTTTCTGATTTGGAGAGCCGCTCCCTCCCTTGGCCTGGGCTTGTCTTTGGCCGAGAAGGAGCGAGAGCAGCCTTGGTTTACAAGAGCAGATTTTATTTCCCCATCAGGATTGGCAACCCTGCGTCAAAGTTTACTGGCAGGCAGAGTAAGAAGAAGAGACCCAACCTCTCATGCTCGGCTCCAGGGCTGTGAAATACATTTCCCTTCTATTAGCAAATCTGCCTTAATTACATGCCACCTTCATTACCTTTTGTTGCTGGTTGATTGAAATTATTTTATTGATTGCAGTCTTCAGAATTGGAAATTTGCCTTATTTAAATAATGACTCTGCTAGACATAATACCAAAGGCTTAAACTGATTTGGAGGAAGAAGCACTCCCCTATCCAAGCAGGCTCCTCTTTTTAAGTCCCGCCCAAAGCACTCTTGCATTGTGGGCAAAGTGAGCTGTGCACAGATTCTCCTGAGGCTTTTTAGGGGGAAATCAGGCAGTGACCTATTGGATGACAGTGAGCAGATAGGAGTGAGTCTATCTCGAAGAATAAATACAGATCTCCTTTGAAATGACGAGGCCTGCTGGAATGGCAATAAATTTTTCTCCCTTTTTAGCCCCAGTGAAGGCCCCTGTTGTACACAGAATTGTGAATTCAAGAAAGAGCGGGAAAAGTGCCGGAATGATTCTGAGTGTGCAGAAGAAGGGAGGTGTGACGGTAACTCTTCTTTCTGCCCCACATCTACACCAAAGAAAAACCTGACCGAGTGCAACAGAAACACCCAAGTTTGCGTCAGTGGTGTAAGTCGTCCTAGAAGTGTTTTTACAGAGCCAGACAGTTCGACTCCAGCGTTTGTGTTCCCTGCCCAGGCGGAGGGTGCCTCTTTCTGTTGACCTGTTGCAGCTGTCTTTCTTGGGCCAGCCAGTAAAAGCAGCCATTTTCTTTTCCTTTGGAGTTTGATAACCAAAATGTTTGTACTGACGGTTTTTGAAACAGATCCCCCATTTGTCTGTGGTCAGGCCAAGAGGGTCCTTGCCCCAAACATTCTTTGGAGAAGAAGGAAACCTCCAATCATCCCCAACTTTGTGCTAACATGCATGGTGCTGGGTTGGGATCGTGTTCTGGGGAGCCAAACTGGGGAAGCAAACTCTTCTCCTTTTCCTGGCTCTGCTTTATGTGGCCAGACATATAGGGGGGAAAAAGGGCAAACATGGTGAAGTTCTAAATTGGCCACTGCATTCATTTTACTATTTTGTTTGGTTTAATTCTGAGCTTGATAAGATGAAACAGTTCTAGTATGTTTCCTCCTCAGCAATGTGCTGGCTCTATCTGTGAGAAATTCGACTTAGAAGAATGTACCTGTGCCAGCTCTGATGCAAAGGATGACAGAGAACTATGCCACGTCTGTTGCATGAAGAAAAGTAAGTTTTGTTATGCTAAGCAACTTAAATTTGGATTATAGCATTCTGACTATTTTAATTTATGCAGGGATGTGGTAGAGCAAGTATTTCATTGCCCTCATTGGTAAATGGGGGACGCTCCTCCTTTGTAAAAGTCCTGCCCTTTCTTTTCATGTCTAGCTGGAGCTGAGCAGCTGCTTCTGGAGTTGAAATAGTTTTCAGTTGCAGTCTCAAACCTGGAAAGTATAGAGGCATTATTAGCATTTCAGATAACCATTTCATCATTTGATTTAATTCCAGTTCCATCCTTTTTTTTAATTCCCCAAAAGATCATTTTTTGCTCAGCTTTAAAGAGATGTCTGCCTCAGAAGAGTGGTGCTCCAGCATGGCTGGGGAGAGGAGAGACTTGGCACATGAGGCATAATAAGGTTTGGGAGAGTCTTATGTCCTGCTGGGAATTATGGATAAATACTACCATCTTTCTGCATAGTTTTAATTTCTTTCTGGAGAGTTGCCCGTGACAATGTCCTGGCTTGTCTGTTCCATGCCAGTCATTTTTCTGCTTTGAACAGCAAAATCCTGATATTCCTCTTCTGAAAACTATAGTGTTGAGGTGTAAATTGTTTCTGTTTTATCCAGTGCATCCGGAAAGCTGTGCCAGTACAGGATCTGAAGCATGGAAGGCTCACTTCAGTTATAAAACCATTACCCTCCAGCCTGGGTCCCCCTGCAATGATTTCAAAGGCTACTGTGATGTATTCATGCGCTGTCGTTTGGTGGATGCAGATGGACCCCTGGCCAGGCTGAAGAAGGCCATTTTCAACCCAGAACTCTATGAAAACATTGCCGAGTGGATTGTGGTGAGTTGAAAGGAACTCTCTGAACAAATTTTGGCAGTTTCTTTGCAAAAACAAGAAAGTGAAAACATTCAAAAATTTTATATTCTGAAGGTGAGATAACAAAATTTAAAATCTATATTCAGTGTTCAAAAGGTATTTGTAGAAAACTGGCAAGAATGGGTGCACTGCAAGGAGTGAAAAAGGAAAATGCTCAGAGCCCCAATTCTGCTTTAAGAATTCAGAGAAGGGTCCCCTCTGAACACTGTTGGATGCACACAGACATGCACACCAAGCACAATTTTCCCTCTCAGGGTAAGGAAAGTTCAGCAGAGCTAGTAAGTCACAGAAACTAAAATCTCAGACAAGGAAACCTAGTAAAAACTAGTTTACACCAGCACCATGCTGTGTCTGACAGGTTGCCATTTTTCCTTTTTGACATTCATTAAGTAACTCCTGTTTTGCATTCCCTTGCTACTTTTTCTTTTGCATAGGAAACAACAATAGCATTCCTCCAGTTGGCAGGGCACAGACGGAATTTTTACATACATTAAGCAAATCACACAGGCCCTCCATAAGCATTCCCTGGGTTAATATTTCTCCAGTTACATCATCAACATCTGCGCCTTACCACTTTCAACATTCTCAGAGCATTTGTCACTTTCTCTTCGCTACATTTTTCTTGAAGAGCCTTTATAGCAGCTGCTTCAATCTCTCTCTTCAAATGTCGCTGACTCCCATTGAGTCTCTAAAATACACTTCCCAGCAGTTCTTCAACTTATCCCAAATCATTTCATCACTTGTGTTTTCGATTCCATTCATTCTTCTGGAGGTCACCTCTTCATTTGCTTCCGGAGCAATATTTTGTTTTCATCAAAATCGCTCTGCATTTCCTTTCTTTAACTCCCCCTATGGCTGCAACTATCCTTTTCTCGATAGAGTCATGCCAAGTGCAGCATTCCTGCTCATGATGAAGGCAAGGTTGGGCAATTTAGGCACAGTTGGCCAGTAAGCCCAGCGTTGCAACCACAGTGTGGCTATGCAAGGTCATTATCTAAGCAAGAGGCTAAGTTGCAAGATTTTAATTAGTTATGTTTTAACTGTATATGTAACTATAAGCCACCCAGAGTTACCATATGATAAGATGGGCAGCCAATAAATAAATAAATAAATAAATAAATAAATGTCCCATCTGTAGGGGCTGGGCGTGGAGAGGCTGCCCCCAAGGGAAAGCCTGCAGAAGCTGTTAAAGGAGCTTGAGGCGAAGGGTGGGCTGGCTTTCCAGCCCTGAAGTGTGGCATTTCTTCTTTGTGCCTGGAGCCTTCATAGAGCTCGGTCAGATGGGAAAAAAGACCTGTTTGTTCTGTCTCACAACTCCAGGCGCACTGGTGGGCCGTCCTGCTCATGGGCATTGCGCTCATCATGTTGATGGCAGGGTTCATTAAGATATGCAGCGTTCACACCCCAAGCAGCAATCCGAAGCTGCCGCCACCCAAACCCCTTCCAGGTAAGACTTTTGCTAGCTCTGCAAGGACGTCTGCTGTAGGCATGGGGTGAAAGTGCACCCTGCACAACTTGGGCTGTAAGGTGCATCGGCGGAGAGAAGAAAAGCCCACGGGAGGAGCCAGAGAAGCTCCGATTTGAATTGCATCAAGAACGTGGTGGTTCATTCCAGGGCTGGAGGAGGGACAGGTCTGACTGCCATAACCCCGTAAGAGGGCTCAGCTCTGTCCTGGCTGTGAGGGTGGAACCAACGTGGGGAGTAGCGAGCCAACAGGCAAGCAGGGGTTTGGGAGGGCGACACCAAATAGAAGTGACAGGGTGTCCTACCTGTCGCCTGCAGGGGCTCTTTTCCCAGGGCTGGAAATGTGTGCCTCTGAAAGAATTTAGAGCACTGAGAGTTGCTTCTGTTTCCGTGGCTGTTTTCCAGAAAATGGTCTTGCCAGAGCTTTGGCTTAGGGCTGCTGAGCTGCAGTCAGCAGGAGTGCAGGGGGAGGCTGGCTGGCAAAGCAGCTCTGAACATGTCTCTCCTTTTTTTTTTTCCCTCCCTGCAGGCACTTTGAAGCGAAGGAGACCCCCCCCGACGACTCAGGCCCCTCCACGCCAGAGGCCCCGAGAGAGCTACCAGATGGGCCACATGAGACGCTAAGGGCTGCTTTTTGCCTTGGTTCTTCCTAGTGCCTACAGTGGGAAAATTTCACTCCAAAGAAAACCTGTATTAAGTCATTGTCCCTGGTCAATGGAGGAGGCTCTCAGACCCTGAGATCCCCTTTCCCTGCCCCAAAGCGAAGTGGCCGGCCGTGAAGCAGATCTTTAGCAGTCTTAAGCAAAGCGTTTCTCTCCTCCTCAGCTAGCTCTTCACGGTTGCCTTTCCTACACTTGCAGGCAAAGGTAGCTCTGATGGAACCTCTTCACAGGAATTAAAGCATCTCTTTCAGCTGCCGGGCTAGGAAGCGAGACTGCCTCAATGGGGGAGACGTTACTTTGCCAATGTACATAAGTGGTTATATGCAGACATTGTATTTCTAATGTACACCTGTACTTCTGTGTGCAATTGTAAAACAATATAATTGCAATATGGATGTTTCTTTATATTATAAACCTTTTATGCTCTTAATGAAGAAATTACTGTTTAATTGACATACTCAGGATAACAGAAGGTTGATGGTGTATAAAGGTCCAGGATTCTGTAATGCTTTACACAGGAATTGTGAATCACGTCAAATCTGTGCAATTTTTATGCATCTCTATTTTGGTCAGAATTACTGCTGAGGCACAGTCCAGGTGCTGTGTTCAGGTCCTTTTCCTGCCCGGCTCCGCTGGGAGGATTCCAGGCTGCTCCAGGGAGGCTGCTGTGGGAAGAGCTTGTCCAGGGTTTGGCTCGCCTGCCCGGGATTGCACAGGGCGGCCCTGAATGGTTAGGTCAAATGCCTGACTTCTTGAGAGGGCCACAGAAGTATTCAAAAAGAAAAAAGAAACCTTTGCATATTCTGTTAAATGCGGAGTTGACATTAAAGGAGTGTTGACTCCCCCCCCCATGATTTCGTAATCCAATCACCTTGATAAGTGGTAATAAGGATCCCAATTCTGAAAATTTGGGAGAAAGTAAAGCTGTGTTTTGTTTTGTTTTTTATTTTAACAAGTATTTGGGTAATCTTTCAGCATGAAACTGTTTAAAAGATAACCACTAAAACAGAAGCCACTACTGCGGGAGTTGCTGTGGTTGTGTAATTATTGTAGGCTGAGGAATGTGAAAGGCACTAAAGAGGATCTCAAACAGCACAATGGCCCAAAGTTTTTACTGCAAGTGTATATAATTGGCATTTTTTTAAAGAAAGAAAAAGCAATGTCCCAATATGCTCAACTGCTATGCAGGAAATGGAAGAGGGCATTATTCAGGCTTGACTTCACTGCTTCTGTTTTTCCAAAAGCACCAAGCTGATTGGGAACCAAATGGCTGCAAAATATTTCTGGCTGTGCTTAGAAACCCAGTTGTGTTTTGGGGTGGGGGGTGCTAGCCAAGCTGTGGATTTTGTTTTGGTTTTTCAAGAGTATGAAATTTAGACATTTCAGTCTCATTGTGTGACTCAGAAGCCAGCAAGGCAGAAAACTTTAAAATAATATAATGGGATCTCTTCCTTGTAAAACTTGTACAGTATGTGGTGGCTTTTTTCAGAATACAGGTTTTTTGTACATGGTTTAGAGACAAATTTTGTACATGAATCCCCCAGATTAATAGATTATAAATAATTCTGAAGGATCTTAACTAGCTAGAAGTCTCTATAGTTGCTTTTAAATCATTTTAAACTACATTTTGGGATTGTTTTTTCTTCTTCAGACTGCAAAGACTGGAAGCTTAGGTTTGCATTTCTGAAATGGTGGGTTTTATTCTACAAGAGTTCTTAGTAACTTCTTGAATATGATAGATCTTGGACCATGTAACTTCTTTGCTTGTGATGTTATCCTGTGGCAAGGGTGTTCGGCAGAGAGCGGCTGCCTTGTTTTTACTGGGCGCCGAAGTTTAATAATGTTTTCTGCAAAGAAAAAATGCACTGAACTCTCCACTGCAAGTCAAGATGTGGTAAAATAAAGCTATCAAGGCAAATTGCGATCTAATACTACTGTCAGTTTAATGTCCACTGTGTTTTATACAGTATCTTTTTTGTTCACTTTGGAAATTTTTACTAAAAAGTTGCAAAAAAATATAAAGTATTGTGCAAACAGATGTAAGGGTTTTTGAAACTTGAAATGCATTAATAAACAGACCTGATGAAATCACTTCAGAAGTTGCCTGCTTCCTCCGAGTCCGAAGGCGAGCAGAGCGAGATGCTCTACAGGCTGTGGCAAGAGTCTGCCTTGTGCTGCCATCGCCTCAGGACGGTGGCTACTGCGGCAACGAGGGCTGGTGGCTGCCGCCTCTCCAGGGAGGACCCAGGACGGCCATTGTCCGGCTTATGCCCAGCTTGGAAAGGGCATTTCCCAGAAGAGGCCAAGGGGCTTCCCTTCCACCCCGAGACTCTGGAGAGGAGGTCAGGGAAAAGTGGCACTCTGGATTCTGGGAGGCCTTGGGAAGGGAGGGAAGGTGGCTTCCCTGGCCCATCAGCCACAGCTCAGGAGTGCTGATGGAGCCCCCCCCCCCGCCCACACTGTGTTTCCTGCTCCCTGCGAGGGATCCTTGTGACCCAATGAATGTTCTCCCTTCAGAACTGAAGGAAGGGGGGAGTCAGTTCTTTGTTTGCTCTGATGGTGCCATTTGGCTGCGGGTGTCACTGGAGTGTGCCAAAGAAGGCAAAAGGGCAGCTACAACCATGCAAATGAAACCAGCCATTTTTTGCAAGCATTGCCACACTCCACAGAATCACATCAGCGTTTGAGGGGGCTTTTATGGGCTTCCCTCCCCCCTCTGGCATTCTTCTGGACCTCAATGCAGAGTTAGGTGGAAGAGAGCTGTTGACGATCCAGGGCTTGGCAGGACCTATTGCTGAATTCTATTGAAATTGAGACTTTAAAAAAAAACAACAGAGCTTTTGCTTCATCTTTCTGAAAATACCAATTTGCATGACTACTTGTTCTTTGCACTCTAGCAACTAGATTGCTATTATTATCCTGGGATTCTAGACAGCAGTCAGAAGAGATGCAAATTGCAAAATATTTAAAATTAAATATCTTTGTGCCATATGGCAGAGAAGTGGTATATGTATATATGGAATGTAGCTATGCCGCCTTCCCACAAACCTGTGGTATAATCCTTATCAGCCAGGTCAGCCTAAACTATCTGAAGGTGGTCCTTGCTAGCATTCAGCTCAACCTCTTCTAAAGCCTGTTTTTGAAAAGGGTTTTGTGCAGCAGGCCTGCAAAACACACTTCCCTTTTCTTCATTTCCTATCCTTTGAGGTATTTGACCTGAGATTATAGTCTTCAGAACTTTAATCAGGTTTCAGCTCAAATGGACAATGGACCGTCCACTGAATGCTCTTCAAAATGAAGCTGATTTTCTCCCTGGTGTGACGCAATGACATTCTTGGGAAGGATCATTCTCTTAAGATTTAATTTCACTTTTTAATTCACTTTATTTGTTTACTCAATCTAGTCTTGAGCGTAACAATTTACAGTACATCCTGATCCATCACATTTTTTAGGTTTCACATTGGTGTGTTTGTGCAAAAAAAAGTGTTCCTTTTTTCTTTTCTTTTTCTAAGGAAAAGATAAAGCTGAGTCGCCTCCCTTCTGGACCAGCTTTTTGAAACATTTGCTTATCATCCATACTCTCATTTCAGTTTTTGGGAACTGACTTCGCATCTCACAAACATTTTCTCGTGACCTGGATAGAGGTGCAAATTATCCACACGCTGAGAACAGAATGTCATTCTGAAAAGAAGGAAAATAGAAAAAATAATAAACCAAGTGTGAATTTCTTCTGTGCAAGGCCAGGTGCAGTATGAGAACTGTAAAATGAAAAGATGGTGATTTTGAGCAATCTTTTCTACACTGCAACATCCACTGTACCCGGCTGCAGAAAGCAAACCCCTGTTGCACACCGGTCACTTCTGGACCTCTTGTCTTCCTCACCTCCTGGCAGGTCTGGGCATACTTACTTCTGCTGAGTTTCTCCTGCCTTAACCCGAATGGACATCACGATGAGTCCTGGCCGACGGTCCCCCTTTCTCCAAGGGATGATGGTTTGGACAGTGTCCCAAATGTTTTCCCAGATGGCCGTTCCTTCCCATTTCAGTTTGATCATCATCAGCTCTCCAATATCAATATCCAGAGGAACAAGAAAAGTGTAGGTTTTATTCTGAGTGATGCCTTCAATTCTAATGGAGAGAAGAAACACTGTAAGACATATTGCCTGGGGCTTCATGGCACAGAGGGATCCTTTTGTTTGTGTTCTGCTCTTCCACCAAGTTGTCTTTGCCAGGTGCCACTTCAGCAGCAGCAGTGACAGATTTCCCAATTGAAAACACAACAGTATGTTAAATGATTACAGATATACGTTATTAGGAGGATCAATATCTCTATGGTTTATTGACTTAGAGTGGAATGATGCAAGAAGACTCGGTGGATGGAGAATAGTATAAAAAGAAGTTGAAGCAGAAATTATGTCTAGGTGTGGACATCTGACTCCAGGATCTCAGCATTCCTGGCAGAAATGAGAAGCTATAAAGGTGCTACCTGTGCAGGGGCCATTTTGTCTCCTCATGAAAGGGGCACCTGGAGGAAATCAGCCTTGGTGAGAAACATGCCAGGGCAACACAAGAAGCATAGCTTTTGTGCCAAGGCCTATGACACCAGCCATGCTGGGCAATGTTTGGAACTCACAAAGTGATGGAGAGATTTTCTACGTCGTCTTTGTTGCCTGTCAGCGAGATGGTGAATGTTGGATCAATTCGTGGTTCTTGGAATTCGTGGATGAAATGGATTTTAAACTGATAGTGATAAACTGTGGAGAGGAGAGGAGAGGAGAGCAAGATGAGTTTTCACTTCCATAGAGACATTATATAGCAGTTCACCCTTTATTTATCTCTGTCCTAAACTCTGCACTAAAGAAAGTTCAGACTCTCTGATCAATATCTACACCCAGAGCCTCTCTGCAGGCAGGGCTTTCCTCCATGAGCACTTTCAGCTGAGCCCCCCCAACTCTGTTGGGGCCTTGTTCTGGGCCAGCCCAGGCGTGACTGGTTGATCAGCACCAAGGGAAGACCATTCCATGCTCCTCGGGAGACATTTCATCCCAGCTGGCTTCCTGCTGACTTTCCTTCCGTTGCCCTGTTCTGAGGGTGGGTGATTCAAAGGGCTGCCCAGGTGTGTATTCTCACTGCCAACTGAGGGCAAAACTGATTGAGGCCAAAACTCTCGGACACAAGGCATCTTTTAGTTGTGGGCAGATCCTTGGCATCCAGTCCATAGCAACTATTCACCTGTGCTATGGCTGGGAGGGAAAGAGATTCCCAGGATAAACCCTAGCCCTGACCTCCTCGCAGAGAGAAACGGCAGGACATCAGGGCTGCCTCTGTCCACACCCGCGGGTTCTGCAGGAGAAACTCTTATGCGAAGACTGACCTGAAGGCCCACAGCCTGGGCAGAAGTGTGCCCTGGGAATGGGGAAGGGGCATCGTGGTGGTGTTTTTAAATTCTTGCTTCAGCTCCTCACATGGTTTTTGAAACGTTTTGAGGAAAGAATTGCAGGTCACTTGATGAAGCCTAAAATAATAGCCGCTTTGTCCTGTCTTGTTAGCTTTTGTGAAAGGCGACTCTTGTTCTGGAGAGCTTAACACATCTTTTCTTCTGTCCGCAGCACAGTCAGGCCTAGCAAGGGAGGCACGTGGGGCAGGCTGGGCCTCAGGAGAGTAAAGCGCTCCTCAAATCAGTGCCTGAGTTCTGTGCCTGTCCAAGTTGCCACCCTTGTGTGGCAACTGGCCCCTGCCCCGCTGGCAATCTGGGCATCCCTCTCGGTAGATCGTGGTCATTTGTTCCAGGTAATCTTCCCAATGCATTTGAATAGCCAGGTATGCACATCTGCTTAGGAAGGGGTGCACACATCAGGCCAGCGGTTCCCCTGTCTTTCTTGGGGTTTTTAAGAACTGCAGATGGGTGCTTCTGGCATCCCCTGCTTTCATAAATGAGGCCGTCTGGCCCCAAGGGCAGGATCTCACCCAGAGGGCTGGCCATATCATTTGGGATAAGACCACCCTGGGGGTCAGCCTGTTTTCCTCTCTGAACTGGTGTCATTTGGAATCTCTGCAGCCGCTGCAGTCTGAGGATGTCCCGCACAGAGTCTGCCCCATCCACAAGACCCCTTTGGGGAACTGGTCCCCTGTTGCCCGCTCCCCCACCAACCTTTGAATGGCATCTGAGGTTGGGTCTTCAGGAAGAGCCTCTGGCTGCCCGGGACCCTGGCCTTCCGAATGTGATAGCCCAGGGTGTTGCACCGGTTGGCCCGGCAGTCAAGGCAGCGTCCCTTGTCAAACATCTGCATGTTTTTGCACCAATAGCCGGTGATCTGCTTCTGGCTGTACCGCAGGGAGTCAATAAAGAGATGAACTGACCTCTCGTGGGCACATTTCACCGTCTGGGTCAGCCCTGCAGGGAAGCAGAAGGGTGGAATTGAGCAAGTCAGGGGCTTCTCCATCCTGCCAGCTGTGGAATCGCCCACTCCTCTCCAGAGGCTGCTGCCAGAGTCCCTCCATCATCTCCGGTCTCCTCTGGAATCGTTCCATGGGACCTTGCAGGGGATGTCCAGTTTTGCCAAGCCTGGACTGGTATCCTGGGCTGACAGCAAACTCAACGTTGCCAGAGCCCCAGGAACCGGGTCCTTTGGCATGCCAGGCAATACCCTGCCTGTGAACCAAGGGCCTCCTTCAAGGCTCTGCTTGGAGACCCCGGTTTGGCCATCTTGGTGCTGGAGATGATCTCTCCTGCTGACTTAAAGGCCATCACCACGTGGAAAGGTTAGAACCCTCCCTCCCAGCCCACAGCAGCCCCCCCCATTCCACTCTTGTAGGCTCCACCCGTGGACACCCATGGTGCTTCCTTCCAGAACTCCTGGCAAGGCAGAACAGGTGGAAGGCCAGGTCAGTGGGAGAGAGAAGTGGGAAAGAGGCCCAGTGGTTAAAGCTCAGAGTGCATCATTCAGCCTCTGGCTTGCCTTGCTCTGACCCAGTCAGTAGCCTGCTTTCAGCTGTGAGTTCTGCCCTGCCTTGGGGCTTCTGAGGGACTCGGCCGGAAGGCTCCCCACCCCGGGTGCCTCCTTTTGTGACTTCTCATACCTGTGATTCCGTACTGCACAATGTGGTTATAAACATGCATGATGTGGCAGCCAGGCTGAAAAGTTCCCCCATTGGGGTAGAAGTCAAAGTGCGCCACAGGCTGCTTGATGCCCACGCTGAGGCCCATGTGCTGCTGGGTAAAGGTGTGGATGGCATCCACAAAGTTGGCATCATCTGGCGATAGACGGTCCGTGGGGGACATGCCTTCAAAGAGGGGGCCAGCAGGGTCCAGGCCTGCAAGACAGACACAGCGAGGCTTGTGAGAAATGTGGCCCAGGAATGAGCCTCACCTTTTGGCTGAAAACCTCATTTCAGTTTTGGAAAAGGAGGGCAGCCAGAGCCAACAGCTGTAAAGGAGGGGATGAGCAAACTAAAGAGAATTATTCCCATTAACTGTGGGAAGATACTGAGGAGCTGAGCTGCCCTCTGAGTCATTGCTGAGCCAGCTGACCAGTGAACTGGTCAGTAGATCCTTAGTGGAGAAACATTCCTTCCCACCCAGCTTCACGAACTTCCTCCAGATGTGGCTGTACTCAGAAGCCAAGGAGTCAGCCTTTCCCTCAGCTGCCTTTCTTTCCCAGGGTCCAACAGCAATTGCCTGGTCCTGCCCACCCAAATGAAGCTGCCAAATGGCCGGGTTCATCCTGAAGTGAAGTCCAACCAGGCTGATGGACTCACCAGTGATCCTGCCAATCTTCCCGTTGCCTCTCATGGAGCTGCCAGCAAAACCGGCTACGTGGGCCCCCAGGCTGTACCCCACCAGGTGAGCATTGCTCCGGTGAAACTGCATGGATTCCTGGAAAAGAGCCGGGAATGGAAGACCAAGGCAAAGCAGTGAGCAGCTCTGCAGCCACATGAGTCCAGACCACCTGGGAGGAATCTGGGAGGCCCGAGCTGGTCCATCTGAGCCACTCTAGTGACCGCACGGTCCCTCAAGGCCAACGGGGGCTCGGCTGAGAAGGCACTGCAATTTGCTCCCCTTTAAGGGTGTTCTCCCCCGGAGGGAGGTTCTCTGGAGCAACCTGCCTGAGAGCTTCTCCTCTCCCTGCTCACCTCCAGCCATTCCAGGAAGCGAGCGATCTCTTGGCCAATGTCGCGTGTGTTCTGGACTGCAATGGGGTAATGTGCGTGTGCAAGAGAGAGCCAATCGGCGATGATGACATTGGTGTAAGGCAGTTGGGTTTTGAGCTCTTCGGACAGTTTCCAAATCCATCCTTCGAGTTGCCTGTCCACCTGCAGCCACAGGAGGAGAAGGGAGGGGATCAACAGCCCCCTTGGAGATTGCGCAGAGTGCGCCAGCACGCCAGGGCACCTCCCATTTCCCGACAGCCGTGGGTGCCACCCCACAGCCAAAGGCAGCCTTGGCCCTCCAGACATCCCATTCGCCCATCTCCTTGCAGGAGCTGACTTGAAAGGGATGAAACATTTTGTGCCCCAATTCCATGTGTGTCAATGTGTGGTGTGCAGGAGGGTGTGTGTGTGTTCCTTTTAGAGGAATTATTTCTGGAGCAGCAGGCACGTTCCTTTTTGTGAGCCCCTCGAGGGGAATGGAGTTGAGTCTCAGGACCACGCATGGCTGATATGAATGCACGGCCCCTCCAGCCCTGGGGGGGGGGGGATACAGGGCTTCCTCCCCCAAGGAAGCTCTGCTCTCCCAGCTCAGGTGTCGCCACCTCAGCTGCGTGCAAGGAGTCGGACAGAGGTGGCAGCAAGAAGAGCCCTCTCCCTTCCCATGAGGCAAGACCCCCTTACCGACCACCCATGGATGATCATCACCAGCGGGACGGAGGCGTTGAAGGGACACCGCTGGAGCGCCTCCTCCTGGCCTGGCTCCATCAGGCAGCCTTGCTCCACCCTGTTGGAATACAGCAGGAACTTGGCCTGGAAGTGGGGAGGGCCTCTCCTCTCGGGAGGCAGCCGACGAGAGCCTGGAAGAGACCATCAGCAAAGGGGTTTTGCCCAGCTCTGGCTCTGCAGGAGGCGGGATGTGGGACGCTTGGCTTCTGGGTGCTGAGGATGCCCATCAACCCTCCATTGGCTGCCTGCTGAATTTGGGCAGCCATTCCCGTCTCACCCACTGGCTTTTGATTCTAAATCAGAAGCTACTCAACCCTGCTGTGTCTCTGAAGAAGCCCAATTGGCTTCCTCCAGTAGGCTAAGTCAGAGTCAAGGAAGTCAACCTCCCGGGTCCCCCCAGCTCAACCCAGCCTGTTTTCATGATGAGTCTCCCCACAGTTAAGGCCAATACACATCACAACTCACAAATCTGCAAAGGGACCCTTTGGGGGAATCATCTGCACAGATTTGGTGGATCAGACACACTCTGAAAACATCACACTGAAAAAGCTGTCTGGGGTTCCACAGAGAGCATCAGGGATGCTGAGGCATTCCAGCATTGAAGAGATTGGGGGCCTTGAGTTTGCACCATTGTCCCCAGAAGGCCACCTAGGGCACTTTTATAGCAACCTGTGAGTTTTGTGTCTTTGCCAGGCAACAGAGAAAGCACAGTGTTACTGCTCAATGTCTGGCAGCCTCGGAGAAGCAAGTGGCCCCACCGCAACCTCCATGTTAAGTGAGCCTCCCAGAGGTCTGGGGTGCCCCTCTCCTCCCATATGCAGACCCTGGAAGAGTTTCAGCCACACAGTTTATCACATCTTGAGTTCCTGCTTTTATGCCTGGGGCTCATTAGAGCGCTTGCCCCCACCTTGCCCTTCCAATATATCCCAAAACTACAAGTTGCTGTTGAAGGGTGCATCTGAACAGGCCCCCCCCACCAAAGCAATAGTGGTGAATATCTGTAGCTCGGGTGTAGGATGAGGGTGGAGGTTCGTTCTCTGAGCTTGAGGATTGATTTCCAAACATTTCGTTACCAGGCTAGGCGACCTCTTCAACGGGTGTTTAGTTGATGTCTGTGTCAGTGTTCTACTTAAGGGCTTCAGGTGTGGGAGTGTCAAGTGAGGGTCTTGTGATGGACCAGGTGTGAGTCATCAGAGAGAGGCTTGTGATGGGAAGGAACACCCTTAGGGTAATGAAACATTTGGAAACCAACCCTCAAGCTCGGAGAACGAACCTCCACCCACACCAAAGCAAGGGAAGGCTCTGCAGACTGGAGGGGGCTGCTGGGTCCCTATTTTTAGCCTCCACTCTCAGCTGTCCAGCGGCACCGAAAACCACCAGTGTCTCTCATATCCTGCTGGGGAATCCCCTCACAGCCCCACCTCCTCTTCCCTTCATTTCTTCTCTCTTCAGTGAACTGCCTGACTTGATAAAACAGAAGGATTTTCATTAGGCCGTTGCAAGAAGCGCAGGCGTAATATTGAAGCGCAACCTCCCATCTGTTGCGGCAAAGAGGCATCAGAGACCCCCCTTCCTGCAGCAGAAATCTGAGCTTGCAGAAATGCAAAGGAGAGCCGGTGTTCTTGGGCCCCAGGAAGCACCCAGTGCCAGGCTACCCAACAAGTATTAGAGCTGCAGATCTGCTTGCTGAGCAACAGAGCTGGGTGAGGATCGCTAATGGCTTTTCTTGGTGCCCCATGGGCCTCAGAAACCCCTTCTTGCTGACCTCTGTGGCCCCTGAGTTCCCCGGGGCCCCACCTTCCTTTCCTTTGCAGGGGGGAAGATTGTGCCAGAGGTCACCCGGTTCTTTCTGTGCTGCTGAATGAGTCAGAGACCTGCCCAGAAGATTGCTCTGATCTCCTAATCTGGCTGTCCACTTCCTCTGTTTGCTCTTCCTGTGCAAAAGGTGGACTTTCGATTGTCGAGTCCGCTTTGCTTGAGCCGTGTCAAATGCAGCTGGGGGAAAAGACACAGGATGCCCAGGACTCTGGGCAAAGCCACGAGGGTTCTGCTTCTTTCCGGTTAGGGCTCATTTCAATTCTGTGCCCTAACCATGGGGGGGGGGGGAAGGGAGCAAGGTATTGTACTGCAGTCCAAGGGGAAACCTTTGCCCCCCCGAGACCCCCTGGATCCTGCTTGGCCTCCTGCCTCAGCTGTGCTTGGGAAGAAACTGCACCAACCGAGGAATCAGAAAGACGGAGACCCTTCCTGGATCTTGGCTTCCCAATCCAGGGAGTGCCAGCCCCGCTGTCTCCATTTCCCAAAACACCAGTTTGCTCCTGGGTGTTTTTCCTTTCCTCCCCAGGTGGTGAAGCTGAGAAGCAGCTCCACAGCAGGTAATGTTTTGGTAGCAGAAGCGATGTCACCCACGCCAGTGCTGCTCAAGTAACGGCAACGTCTCCGCTGAGCTGACTGCGGTGGTGGCTTCATTGCAGGCAGACCCAGCTGGTCCAGAACCGTTGGCGCCATTGGAGCCACTGTCATCTTCCACCAAAGAGACCAAACAAAGAGTAACATTCCTGCCTCTTTTCGGAAGGAAGGCCCTCGGGAAAGAAAATCTTGGCCAGTTTCACGAGTGGAGGAGCCCTCTGTCCCCCAACGAGTCCTCCTTCATCTGCCAGTCATCTGCCACTTGATGTAAAGGTAATCCAGGAGAAGAGAGAATGACGGGCACTGCAGAATGCCATTGCTGTGCTTGTCAAGCCCAGTTTCTCCCCAACCCTTCCCCTGGGATCAGGCCAGCAGAACCCGGGGAGGGGAGGAATCTGGGTTCTGTCTCTAATTCTGAGCCTCCTGCTCCACCCCCGGCCATAAAGGACGGTCTCCGTTACAGCCAGAAGCAGAGATGAATGCGGGGAGAGCTTCTTCTGCTCTCTGCCACGTGTTAATTCAGAAAGAGCACAGGCTGTATTTATTTATTCATCAAATTTATGTGGCTTCTGCATTGCATTTAAAATCCCTTTATTCATAATTAACTAGGGTGAATTCTTCCCACACATTTCTTATTTGCAGGTCCAGAATAATTGAATGCAAAGTCTGAAGATTCAGGAAGAAATTAAATTCTCCCATTCATAATTAACCAAGGCAAATATTTCACACATCTCTAGCCTGTATTTCTTATCTGAGGAATTTGCAATAAATGGAGACTGAAAGGAAAGGGGGAAATGGCAGGTTTAGCAGAAGCCGTCTCTGTCAGTGCAGCCAACCATCCTTCAAAGCTCATGGCAAGCATCTGCTACCAACATGTTATCAAGGGAGATCGTTTGCTACCTGGATGTCACTTAGAACCTCAAAGTGGTGGCTTGAAAAAATCATATCAAAAATCCTTTCTTTAATCAGATTAGTCTGCGGTGCATGAAGAGGCTTATATTATATTAATTGCCAAGCCTTTGCAACCCAGGACTGCTTCCTCCCAGGACTTGCAGCTGATCTTAAAAATAGGCCTAGGTGCCCTTCAGTTAATACAGGAAACGTGGGGTGCTCTTGAAGCAAGCAGGCAGCCTAGTCCAGCACCCCATTCCTTCTGCCCCGCAGGAGCTCCAGAAGGACGGTGCCCTGCTTGAGGGAGCAGCTGAGGCTGGCAGGATTCAGCTGCTCAGAAATGAGCCTGGCGGCAGCTTCTCTTAAGCCAAGCACCTGAGGAAGCAGTGAGATCCTCAAAAAAAATCTGCCAGGGTTTCCCACATCTTTGCGACAACCCCAATATCAGCCAGCGCCTTTTGGAACCGCATCACCAAATCTCCCCTAGAGCCAGTCTTATTTTCAGCTGTAAAAGCCAAGAAGGAATTTGAGCACCAGCAAAATGGAGAAATGGAGGTGTTTTTTTTAATCCATTGGTCCTGGTATGTCTGCTTTCTAAGTTCTGACAAAGAGGGGCCAGTTTTTTTATTTAAAATATCCTAGTTTGCAGAAATTATGAAGCAAAAGTTATTTTCCTGCAGCCTCAATTTAAATCTCCAACTACTGCAGTATTAAAATCTTTTGTTTTGCATTCCCCCCTCCCAAAAGAAAGTTTGCTTCTTGATCCTTCTTGCACCAAGCAAAGCTGCCACCCTCCAAATCCCTGCCTGAAAGGGAGCCCCAAATCAACATCCTTGGTGTGGCTGCTAAGCAAACACTGCTCACTGGCCTCCGGAGATTAACTCTGGCCGTCTGGCTGGTGTCCAAAGTTCTCATGAAAGGGTGAGGACTCCTTCGTTACCTGTTAGGGAGTCCTGGTGGCTTTCAGTGGCTACTGGCAAAGGAGCTTCCCTAGCCCAGAGTTAGCTCTGAGGAAGGAAGGAACCTTGTGCCCGGCTGTCCCAAACCAGCCTTGGAGGACTCATAAGAGTGTGGGGCGATCTAAACTAAGCAAAGAGGCTCAGCTCCCCTTTGGGAGATACCTGGAGCACAGTTTGCCCCTCCTCCAGCATCTGGAAGGGGAGCAACATATCCCCCCTCCCCCCCAAGGAGAAGAACGAAATAAGAGTCTAGCCAGGGCCTTTTTGTAATTGTGAATAAATGCAGGGAGGATGCAGGCCCCAAAGTGTGGGGCAGCAGCTGATGGCAGGAAGCCTCTTTGGTGAGGTGGGGAAACAAGGGACTCTGAAGGACAGGCTCAGGCCAGGCCAGGGGAGGGGCTGGCCCCTGTGGAAGGAGGGGCTGGGCTGCTGCTAATCCAGCAGGCGAACATTGCTTTGGGTACTGCAGGCACAAGACGGGGGAAAGTCAGCAAACTCCAGGACACCCACAGGGACAATGTGGCAGATCTCTCCCCCCCCCCCCCCGCTGCAATCAAGAGCTGGAGAAAAGGGTCCCTGTCCAACCAAGTGGAGGGAAACTTCTCTGGTCATCCTTCCTTCCTTCCTCACCCCCCATCTCTCTCTCTTTCTTTCTTTCTTTCTTTCTTTCTTTCTTTCTTTCTTTCTTTCTTTCTTTCTTTCTTTCTTTCTTTCTTTCCTTATGAATGAATATGACAGCTCTCATTGACCGCACTCCCTTTACATAAGGAAATGCATTTGCTGCTCCCGACCCCACTCAGGGGCTGAGTCAGCCTACCCAAGGCCTCCTCTCCTCTCCTCTCCTCTGGACGGGAAGCACCGATTCCAGCAAATGGCCTTGTCCCTTAGAAGCCGAGGGGGGGGCTGTTTGGGCCGGACCGTCTTCCAAAACCACTGTCCCTGCTCAGAGGCTGTGGGCTTACCTTTCTTCCTTCCGCCATTGGGGTTCCCTTCGGCAAGAAGCGCACAGAGAAGGAAGAGCAGCAGCGGAAGAGCCAGATGGCTTCTCATTGCCCCTTTGCCTGACACCCGCCGGGCCACGCTGATTCCCGGTGGTGAAGGGATGGAAGGGCAGAACGGGTCCTCTTGTCCTGGGTAGGCAGTGAGGACTAGCAGTTCATTAATGATTAACCTTTTGCACGGAATTGTCTGTTTCTCTCTGTGCCCCGTAGACAAATCGACTCTGGCCCGATCAGAAGCTGTTTTTGTCTCTGGGGGGGCCTCCCCCTCCCCTCCCCCTCCTGGCACTGGGGGCTCCCTGGATGGGTTTTGCGTGGCCAGGCTGATTCTTTCCTGATGACAGGGAGAAAGCAACGCTGGAAGCCGTGGGGCCAGAGGAAGCCCACTCCGCTTCTACTGACTTTTCTCATGACACATTGCGAAAGGGCCAGTGGGAGGGCAGCCTCAAGGCCTTTCGCTTATTGAGGTGGCCCCCCTCTTCTCCCACCCGAGGAGGGGTGAGACTGGCTTCCAAAGGAGACTCCCGCCCCCCCAGCCTGGCGCTGCAGAAGAGCTGCTCTCCAGAGGCAGCTCGGAGCTGATGGGGCACATGGGGAGCATGGCCAGCAGCCCCGTCTGGGATCCTCCCCTGGCCAGTTGGTCAACATGGCCTTTGGCACCATCCTGTCTGCCCTTGTCTGGCTCCCCCTCCCCCGCCTGTTTCTCATCCCTTTCTGCATCTGCAGTTGCCACCCCCTTGAAATCTCCCCCAAATCTGCCAGGGTTGCCACAGCTCTGCCCCCCCCCCCTTTCAGCATTATTTCTTGATTTCAGCAATTGGAACTATAGAAGTCCAACCTCCGGGACTCTTACCCCCCCCTTAAGGATGCCTTCCATCTTCACCTGTTCTTGCGCCCACATGGCTGATCTCCGGGGGGGGCAATGCTACTTGCATCTAAAACTGGGATGGGGGGCGCATTCGGACAGCTACTGAGCCGGCACCAGCTTCCTTGACTGGCTGGGGAGATGAAGAAGACCCCAGGAGTGAAGGGTGGTTTAATATGGAGGGGAAAATGAGGCCAATCGCTCCGGTTGCAAAGACAATCCGTCTGCTGCCGCGTGCGAGGCAAAGCAAACAAGGGAGACAAACCGGACTTCCCAAACAGAACCAGGCCGAGCTTCTGATATCGGGCCGCCCGATCCAAGGGACTCTGCTGGGCTGAACGGGGAAGTCCATGCCGTCCACACCACCCGCAGGCAGGAGGGCAGAGAGCCCGGCTCCCTGTGGCTTGGAGGCAAGTCAGCGGAGTTTGTGGACTGTCCCCCCTCTTCGCTGGCCAGCCTGGCTCGCTGGGCCCCCAAGAGAGGGGCCGGGACTGAGGTAGATGGGAAATGTCATAGGAAAATGTTTTTAAAATGTTTTGTTATATTAATAAGGGGAATAGAGTATTGTAGTATTTGATTGTGCTTAATTGTGCCTAAAATCCATGTAACCTGTGTGCCAATTCTAAAGAGACAACCTTTTACAAGAAGTGCCAACTGAAAGTCACAGATGGTGTAAGATATTACCGCCTANCCCCCCCCCCCATTCTGAGCTAGCCTGAACAGCAGGCTCTTATCTCGGAAGGGCCACCGAGCTCTTCCACTAGGGGGAGGTGCTTTAGTGGGCGGAACGAGGAATGGGCTAGGATCGGCTGAAGTGAGAGATTGGCGCCCCCCGCACTGGCCTGGCCCTGCCCGAAGCACTCCCGGGCCGCCCACTTTTGGCAGTGGACGCCGAGGAGCTGGCGGGCTCCCCCCACCCCTCGGCTCTTTCTGCCAATCTTGGAGCAGGCGGGGGAGCTCTCCCTCCGGGGAGGGGCTCCCGAGAGGGCGGGGCCGGCTTCAGGACGGGCTTCGGATGATGCTGTGCCGGGCAGCTGTACTTTGCTCCCCTGCCCCCCCGGCAGAAGTCCCACGGAGCTCGGACAACGGAGGTCCTCCACCATGTACAAGGACCCACCCCACTTTACATCTTAAGAAGACAGAACTCTTGGAATATCTCTTCCAACAGGCATCTTTATTAAGAGAAGATGGTTGCAGGCGTTCTAGACAGGATCTGAGGGGCCAACCCCTACCATTCAATGTTTTAAGTGTTCCCAAGCAGCCCCTATCCCACCGTCCTTCCAGAGACGATCCCAGGTGTTACATTTCCACCCCTTTTTCTTCACTGCCAGCAGATGGGAGACTTCAGAGAGATAGTAGATGAAAGGCAATGGCCATATTGTTATGGTCAGTCCTCTTGATAAGAATCACATCCAGTCCTTTTTAGTTTAAATGAAGGAAGTGAGAGTCATAAACCCCCTTGCTCCCTCCTCCCCTTTCGTAGTATGACAGAATCCACAAAGAGTAAGAAATGGATCTTTTTTCAGAGTAGGTAGCTAGAATTGAAATATAATTGGATTCTGACATCCTGTCCTCCTTAAAAATAAGAGAGATCCACCTGTAAAGAAAACAAAACAGGTATAAAGGTTAGTCTGGCTTGTTAGGATACTCTGTATGAAACTTCTTTAATAGCTTCAGGGCTCTGACATGACGTTTATGGACCCACTCATTTTGTGAGGCAGGGAGGTGTTTCCATGCTACTAGGTATTGAGTTCTTCCATGATATCTCCTAGAGTCTAGGATTTCCTTTATCTCGAAGTGTTGTTCGCCTTCCACCATGATTGGAGGTGGTGGTGGTGGGATTTTTGGCCGTAAGGGTGACTGATGTTCTCTTTTCAGCAAACTGCAGTGAAAAATTGGGTATATTTGCCTAAGATTTTTGGGTAATTCTAATTCTACTGTTACTGGGTTTATGATTCTTTTAATTGGAAAAGGCCCTATATATTTTGGTCCACGTTTTTTACAGGGTTGTAGGGATTTTAGGTATTTTGTAGATAAGTACACCATTTCTCCTATGATGAATGGTGTAGGCTCAACCCTTTTTTTATCTGCTTGTGCTTTATATGCATGCCTGGCTTCATCTAGTGCTTTTCTAACTATTGACCAGGTGTTTTGTAATTGTTCCATCCATTCTTTCAGTGATGGGATCGCCGGTTCATTTGGGATTAGTTCTGGCATGGGGTTGAAACTTTGACCGGTAGCTATTTGAAAAGGATTGTAACCTGTGCTGGAGTGGACTGCGTTATTGTAGGCCACTTCTGCGAAAGGGAGTAGGTCCGTCCAATTCGTCTGCTGGAAATTAATAAAGCATCTTAAGTATTGCTCAAGTACTGAGTTACAACGTTCTGACTGACCGTTCCCTTGAGGATGATGACTAGATGACAGTCCCTGAGTGGTCCCTAAGAGGGATAAAAATTCCTTCCAAAATGCAGACGTAAATTGCACTCCCCTATCAGATAGGATGCGTTGGGGTGCCCCATGCAATCTGTAAATATGCTGCACAAAAAGTTTCGCTAAGGCGAACTTCCGGTGGCGAGACTTCGCCGATGGAGGCTTTCTTCTCAGCCTCCTGCCCGGGACTGCGTCAGAGCTGTCAAAACAGCGCGGATCAGCTGTTTTGCGGCTTGGAACTCCCTCCCCGGGCGAAGGGGAGAGAGTGAGTTTGGTTCAGATAGGGGTAGAGTTCTCTAGTCCCCCCCAGGAATGATCCTGGGGGGATGTAGGTACGAACTGCCCCGGAGTCTGGATCTCTTCTCCGCAGCTCGGAGTGTCTTCGCTCTTCGGAGCGAGGCTAGACGTCACCGCCACTGCTGCTACTTTGTATCTGCTTGTGAGTAACTTTTGAACAGACGGAACCTGACAGGGGATTTTCTTTTTCTGCTTTAGTTAAATGGTGACTTTAACTCAAAGATCTTATTGGGACTTTCGCTATTTCTTATAAGTGAAAGTGAGAAGAAAATGGCCACGGAGGCGTTGTTTCTTTGTAACAAAAGGAAAACTTTCACTTTCTTTCCGGTGGTGGAATGATGCATTTTAAAGGATTTTAAAGAACTTTTCTTAAGTCAAGCTTTTTAAAGTTAATTTTTGCTCTTGTGAGTTTTAAAAATAATTTGGCAGAATGGCTACAAAACGTACTGGAGTTTCTGCATTGCCTAAAACAACTATTTCCTCTCCTGTTGTGCAAATTCAACAACAAAAATTTAGATCTCCCCCACCATCACCACCTCCCTCCATTACACTTAAAGATTTGCAAGAGGCTTTAGCTAAGTCCTCATTACAAACTGTGAAACAAACAGAATAACTTTTGGATAAGAAAAATCACGAACTTTGTGAAAATATATCACATATTTTTGAAGGACTAGCAATTCATATTGATCGTGTAGAGGGAAGGGTGGATGATCTAGTGGAGAAAATGGAAGGAACAGAGGACAGACTTGAGAAAGTAGAAGAAGGTGTGGAGAATTTACAAAATGACATGGTGATGACACAATTTAAAGAAATGGAATTTGCCCTAAGAATCANGTATTGATAAGAGGAGATGCTCGGCTGGTATCCCAAATTGCACTCGAGGAGGTGGTAAGAAAGGAGAGGGGATGTAGGTAGGTGGTAAGGAGGAAGGTGGAGAGGTTGGGGGTCAGAGGGAGGAAGGAAAGGAAAGTGGATGAGGGTGGAGGCATGGCGGGGACTGCCGAGCGTCTCTGAAAATGTATTGATTTGGATTTTTTCTTTTTTGTTTATGTACGTAAATGCATCACAATTTTTGTTGTTTAATCATAAAAATCAATAAAAAATTTATTTAAAAAAAAAGTTTCGCTAAGGCTTTTGCGATGGGAATCTTTTGGCAAGGGATAAAGTGCACCTGTTTGGAAAACAAGTCCGTGACCGTCCAGATGACAGTATTCCCATTGCTTTCTGGTAATTCCACTATAAAGTCCATGGCTATTTCCCTCCAGGGGGCTGAGGGATTTGCCACTGTTTGTAACAGTCCGGGCGATTTCCCTTGCAACCTCTTTGCAGTTGCACACTTTGGGCAGCTGGCCACGTAACTTTCTATGTCCTTTTTCATGGATGGCCACCA